AGCAGAAGTGCTAAGTGCCCCTTCCAATTCGAACAACGCCTTTTTACCCTTATAAATATGCCTGGTATCAACTTGCTGTCCCCAAAAGTTGGGAAGGCTGAGGTAGCGTGAATCTGTTGATTCCGAATATGACCCATCACCGCACAAGTACAAACGGCCCTTCTAGCCAGTGCACTGCCTTCGTACATTAAAGGCTACGGTCACGATTGCGGGGGCGGGCGGTTGCTGCCAACGTCATTGGTGGAGCCGCAGAGTGGGACGTGGCCAAACGCCCTCTCGCAGCCTTCCACCAATGAAATTGGCAGCAACCGCCCGCTCTAAGCCAACTGCCTTGAAAAAACCAAATGGGAGGAGAAATGGGCAAAACCCTGTGATCAGCTAACTATCCTCTGGTGCACTCCTCTTTCTAAGGCGATAAAGAGAAGAGAGCAGCGGGGAATAGGATGGGGATCTCCGCCCACTTTTGTGCTCGCCGATTATAGTGGACTGTGACCTTAGACCTAAAATCAACGCCTTCGTCAAAGATGCTCACCTGACTTCCGGCATTCTGCCCAACTTGGCAAACGGATTGTCCAGGGCACTGATAATTTTGATTGCAAGAGCCTATCCGTACTCCACCCGTACACGAACACTGAGCTTGTGGAGCCTGAGTGGGAACATATGGAGCGCTCGTTGGCATCGTTGGCAGAGTGGCCGGTGAACCTTGGGTATCCCAGACGCAGAGCTGAAAATTACGACCACTTTTTTATAGGATCTAAGAAAAACGAAAATGGCTGAGTACCTGAGATGGAGCGTCGAAGACAGTAGCTGGAGCACACGGCATACGTTGCCATCGTCCACAGAACAGATTATTTTGTGCTGGTTGACACTGTAGGTAGTGAGACCGTGACTGAGGATCATTCGCTAACGGGTCAACCATCCATGAACAGATGCCCTGGTACTGTGCCGTTTCAATTCCTCCTTGGACTGAACAATGAAGTAACACTCACAAGTTCGAAACATTGCGGCAAAAGGTGGTCTAGGAGGCTTTTTTCTCGCCTGAACAGATATGGTCATGGTCTCTGTAAACGACAAAACGTGTGAAGGGGCGTGACTTTGATCGCAGACAGGGCAGCCTTCCCCGCCAATACTTGCGGACTCCGAAAGATATAATTGGTTGAAAAGGCCAGCTTCGCGGCGCTCCAATCTATGCCTCTTCGCACACCCTATTGTTCAGAGGGGTCATGACTGTACCTAGGTTATTGTAACACATAAAATCTCACGAAGGCTTTACTTGTGCTTCATCCACGAGCATCACAAATTAGCAGACATTTCCTGACTGGTTCCCTCAACAGCGCATTGAACCATAGCCGTAGGTGACTTGTTGGATAAACATGAATTTTGGCGCAGATCAGTTTGGTGGGGCATCAAATGGTGTTTAGCGCTACTTTAGGCCACCTTATGAAGTCCTGTAAAACACTGTGACAGACGAGGCTCGCCTACACCTTCAGCAGCCTCACAGGAGTTCACAGATATGATCAAGATAAGTCCTGTCACTCAACATGAACCATCAAATGTGGATAGCAGAAGAGCGAAATGCCCCTCCCAAACCGAACAGCGTGTGAATTTGTGAACCTCCTTGACTAATCAGCAAGAATCTATGCAAAAAACCGTAAGTGACCTCTAGCCTTTATTTTCCGGTTTCTTCAGTGTGTACGCATGCGGTGAAGAAACATTGAGCATTCGAAGGAGAGTCGAGACAACAAAGCGAGAAGACAACACACACAAGCAAGACCACTGACACAATAGAGTCTTCGCCAAAATTTTGTTTTGGGCGTAATCCCTGCTAACTGGCGCAGTGAACCGTAAGTCAGATGTCTGTCTGCATTGCACTTCCGAGTGGAGGATGTGGAGCAACTTCTGTTGCTGCAGACCTGCCTTGACTGAGCATGATGCGGCCTGTCGAGGGGGACGAGTCTGAAGGGGGGGGGGGGGCGAGCGCCAGATTCTTTTTCTCTTTTTCTCTTGAAGCAAGCGGCAATACTGTATCATATAGTTCGTATCAGTCGTTTTTCACCAGATTTTGTCGCTTACTCGGTTCAATAACCGGCGAAGAACGGGCTGGCGGCGAGCCAAACCTCGCCTTGACGCGCCTAGACGAGAGCAATCCTGACATCATTAATCATTTCTAAGCTTTAAGATTAGTGGTACACTCCGCGCTGGTCGTGTAGGCAGAGCGGGGCCTGCCCTTGCAATTCCCTCATGAGCGCACTCCTCCTCTACTCCTTTCTATCTTGCTCCTCAAAAACAAGGAAAGGTAGAGAAAGACCTATTGGTATGTTGGTCTCTTCTTATACTTCATGGCGCTGGAATTGTAGCCTGCGAATCAGCAAGCTTCCATGTGCCTGCATATGCCCATGTTAGCAAGATAAGTCAGGCAACTAACTGCCACCACCACTGCACCACTCCTACCTTTCCGCCTTAAAGCTTTTTACAATATATTTCTCTGTCAGAATCTGGCCTAAATACATGACTATACTTAAAGAATCCGATTAAGCTTACCAAGAGGACAGGACTGAGCGCCCTGCTAGCTTGCGCGTGGCTCGTTTGCTGCTGCGACAATATGCTGTTGTACCAGTAGTTGTTGCCTTTAGGCCAGTTCTGAAAATATAGGTATGCAAAAGAGCTTTCAACAGCATGCCGTGAAAATTAATAATTCATTCCTTTCCGACCTTGCTTTTCCACATCTGCTGCCGGCCGCCCTGTCCGCTCCCTCCTCCCTCGATCTTGCCGCCCAGCCTACTGCTTTACAAAAGCTAAATAAGGCATGCCCTGGATATAAGCCCTTCTTAATTCGCCATAGGATAACTGGAAGGGCCGCCCAAGATTCTAAATAAAACAATACCTTAGAGCCCGAATACTCGCCTTTTCCTAGCGTTAAATACAACGAAGACTGTGAGATACGCTTTCACAGGCCACTTTTCGCGAACCATCTTAAACCGAGCATGGAAGCATCGGAAACCCTCTGCAAACTCTTTGCATTCCTCCTCACTTCGTTGATGAGCACGCCAACGCAGAGGACCAACTATCCTGCCCTGAGCAGGATCAACTTGGCACACACAATTCCTCCTTCAAAATGTCCTCCATTGGTGCGACCTTCTTTCGCCAACCCCCCTCCTACTTACTATATCCTCCTTCTTCTCGAGTTCTCTCCAACTTTCTAGCACTTTTTCGGAGGGAATTCTCTCAGACTTGCCACTACGATGGGGCCCCGCCCCTAAAAGAGTGGCGTGGGCACGTCCCACCGAATACGTACCGTCCGCTCGAGCCGATGCTGTTATGCCTGAAGTTTTGTCTAATGGTGAGAGCATTTGTGGATTGGAACTGAACTGTCTCTTTGAGCACCCCCTACCCTCCTCCCCTTGCAACCTTGAGAGTGCATTGAGTATTTATCACTCTACTGACCGTTGTTAAATAATCATTAGAAATGCCATATTCTACTTCGTTGGGCTTAGGCTGTTGTCAACCTCCCGCACTGGCCTGCCGTTCAGCACCGCGTTGCAGCACTGCCCCATTTGCCACTACCGCCTTACCGCCTTGCAAAGTGATGGAGTTTACCCTAAAACAGGCGCAGTTTGTCGACGGGGGGCATTCGGCTTTTCATAGATGTGCCGACCCATCTAGGTAGCCTTTTCTCGAGTTGACACGTTTTAGGATGGTGGCTAGACGATCTGCTTCACAGGCGTTCACAAGTTTTACCATGGTGAGATTCGTAAACCGGAACTAGGGAAGCAATGTTAGTACAAAATGCCCCCCCGTCGCTAAACAGCGCCCCTAAAACACTTTGAGACAGAAAAAACCCTCAGCTCAAGGGTTTTATGGCACAAAAGCCACTGAGTTGATCACGAGAGGGTAAGAGCGGTTCCAGTGGCATAATGGACAGTGCATTCGCCCAGGAGATGTAGGTGAGACCCGCCTGGATTCTGACTTCTGCCCATGACCTAGCATTCTTGTGATACCTTTCGGACATGTTCCATTGCAGAAAAAGGGTTCTTATTGTGCACAGGTCTCACAGAATGTGTTGCAATGTATGTTGCATATTCCATTTTGAAATCAAATAAACGATAAACTTCAAACCACTTCAATCGAGGCAGCAGGGGTGGCAGAAGGTTGGCACTGGCATGGTGTCTGGGAGGGTTGCTGGCAACAAGTGATGGAGACCAAAATCTAAAAGCAGAACTCCGAGTTTCACCCATGAATAGCCCAAAGCGCAACGCGATCACCTTTTCATTCTGACTATTTGTCGACACACACGTACAAGCAGGCTGAGTAGACGGACACGGACATGACTGGTATTGAGAGAACTGGAGTGCCTGTGTTGAGAGAAATTGTATTGTCAAGGTGTGAGTAAATGTTGTACAAAACTAGTTAAACGTTTAAACAGTCTAGTTACCGGACTATTGGGCACTGGTGAACGACGAGTTTTGTCCGAGTTAATCGGAATAACGACCGGCTCAAGAATTTCCGGACTCGGACACACACAATTCTGTTCACCATTTGGGCAGGTACACTGACGCGGCGCTTCGCGGACCTCTTTGATAAGGAACTGAAAAGGAATTCTTCCATAAACGGGAACTGCTGTCTAAGCTTACTATAATAGCTGAGTTATTCTTCAATTTTGAGGTTTTGGAAAGGTTTTGGACAAAATTCTTCACGAAGTAGTATTCCCCATTGAAGGAAAGTAAGAAAATGACTGGGAGCTTGATACTCAGGGCACGGCGCAGTTTTGAGACCCCCTCGCTGGAGACTGGGGATCCCAGCAAGGGGTCTCATTGGACAGCTGGAGAGAGGGCTGCCTTCCTGGCCCTGAGAAAAACGTCCTAGGTTGGTTTTAGGTTAGTTTTTACCTGTTCTACTAATGCTCCTGGTGCTATATCTGCCGGAAATTAACAATGGAAGTTGAAAAAAATTCAGGGATTGTTATAGGACAAGGGATGGAAAAGAGGGTCGTATCAGAAGAGTTCGAGAGGAGGTCGTCGCAGTTCTCTCCAGTGTTAGGATGTGCCCTGTTGGAGCTATCAAATCCTCAGTGCCTGACTTCGAATTTCAAGCCAGAGCCTTATCGGAAATCGTGGACGAGACTAAATGACCTCAAAACAGTCCAAATCAAAAAGTTCTATGGGAATTTGAGCGCACTTTGCCTTGGTGGGGACCAAATGATACTTAGCGATTCTTCTGCAGGCTACCTTGTGAAGATCCGTAATTTCCCGTGACCAGAGTGGATCACTTGTGCCCCCTTTTCGCAGATTCTCGAGACTATAACTTAATTAGGAGGAACTTTCAAACAGGTCACGTCCTGCCGCTGTCGAGAAAAAACTTCCAAAAATACCACCACGCCTCCTTCTCCCTCGAAGCTTCCTCCTCTGGTACTACCCAAGCTTACTCATCTCCCATCTTACTTACCCGACGCGTCCTCTTAACAGAAGGAACCATTGAAAAGTGCAATATGCCCTAGAAAGCCAAACAGCGACATAATCCCTACAAGTGGTCTCAACAGTAATTCCTTGACGTTGCTCACGTTTTACGCTTTTCAAAGGTTACCTATAGAAAAACGGTTGTGATTGTCGGGAGAACTAGTACTTTTGTAACTTTGCAAGATAATCCGCTCCAACCTCGGAAGCCGCGAGATGGACGCAACGCAACCACGGCAATATTAAGTAGGAACAGCATTAGAATCACATTAGAAACGATTAGGGAGCTGAATATGCTGAAGAAAGGGTTCCACCGCAACCTTCGGAGTGGACCGCACCTACGCTGTCAAACCCCATTGGAGGCTGATGTAGGAAACAGGAAGGTGTGACAGTCCCCGCCTTCAAAGAGCTGAAGTTTTTTTTTTGGATATTTCCATTTATAATAGCAAAACGCAACGGCGTCCTTCCCATTAAATCTAAAGAACTATCACCTATTTGAACACCGCAGACAGCCAGTGATCGGGAACGCTTCCGCAAGGTGTGAAGGATCAGGTAACCCAGACAGGTCGGGTAATTCGATTCCAGCTGATGAACGAGAGCACTCCCACCTAACTGGATTTCAAAGAACGTCTCACGGTACACCTGAGCGCCCATATGGGGCCCGATTTGTGCAACAGAGCTCGTCAAAATATTCCCTGCGTGCCGATAGTTTGACCACGTGCTTTGTTGTAGCCTCTTAATCGAGGTTGGCGTGCTCAGATCGCGCTACGACTAAAGGGGAACCATTTTCCATCAAAATTTGGCTTAGCGGTAGTCGCCAGTTCGGTGCTTTCGAGCTGAAAGAGGCACAGAACTTTGGTCAAAGCTGCTGGATAGAAAAAGATTAAGACCTACGCGCCAGCGGAAAAAAGGACTTACCGACCGTTAGGGAATACCGTAATTCTTCGTGTGAATTACATATCTACTGAGACTGAAACCAGCTCGAGGCTTGAAGCTATAATAATCATTGCCGGAAAGCTTGCAAGACGTCTGTAAGACTTCCTGTAACTTCGACTTCATAGACAACCTCACTCCTTGGTTCGTCTCAACTTACTTTAATGTAAAATCTCGAAATTTGGGGTTGTTTTCTCAACAAATTTGCGGAATTTCTCGCTCAAGTTTGCTAAAACCTCGGTTTTAAAGGACAAACAGTCAGGAAAACATACTGAAAAGCTACCGTTACAAAGCCACGCCCACGTATTGTTGATCGCAGCCAGTCGGGGCGGTGTCAGGAGGTGTGGAATGAGCCCACCTCGGCTGCGTGTTCTACCAATAGTGTGATCAGTTTGGAAGAAACAAAAAAAGTGGTGGAGAAGCTTGCGTGTACTTATTCCATCCTCATGACACCGCCCCATCACTGATTGCGACGGTATCAACGATATGTACGTGATGGACCGGTTTCCGACAGCTTACTGTCAACATTCCAATGGTGAAGTGACCGAGTCAATGTCCAGCCCTTCGCCCCTATCGAGCATCCATTGAATGTGTTGCCAAATTCGGCTGTCAGCGAGAAGTAAGTTTCAGCACAATAAAAAAGAGCTGCTTTCCAAGGCACTCTAAGAAGGGCGAAATCAAATACTTGTGGGGCACTCTCTGGGGTCTTGTTATGTCGATGCCTCGAAGAACTAAAGGCGGTTGTTGAGTCGGTCGGCCTCCTCATTGAATACAACTTCTTTGGTTGTATTTTTGCTGATTTCTCGTCCGTTTAGAATTGCGTAAGTACGTTAAAACCATAAAAAAACCCGTTTTTTTGAATACTCCGATTTTTTTGGTCCTCTTCGGTGAAACAAGTTGAGTGGGAATATGGTGAACCTTGAGTCGGAACTAATTTCGATGCAAGTAAACTTGAGGCATGTCAGTAGTAATTTCAATACAAACAATTGTCCGTCCACCTAAAAGAAGGACCAGGAAATAATAGCAAGCACAGACTTAAGCTCCCTGTTCCCTTCAGTTCCTGCTTGAAGAGACATTTTGTAAACTCCCGTTAACTAGTTAGACATTTTGTTAACTAGTAGACGGATAACCCAGAAAAACCCAGTAAACTCATTCAGTGCTATAAACGCGCTTCTTGCGTGCTCAGTATCCGGAAGTAAGCAAAGTTAGCCAAGAGAGTGAAAACTGGGAGGGTGCGGACGGAGCGGCTATTGACGGAACGGATGTGCCGAGGTTGGCGAACCACTCCGCACAAATTTTTAAGATCTATTTTGCCAGAAGAAATTTGTTCATTCATCCAGAAACTTCTTCCTCTTAAGCTCAGTTGGAAATCCACACCCTGACAATGGTTTTTGCGCCTACTCCTTCTTTAATGCGGCAAATCACTAACATGTTCCGGACCCCCATTCTGCGAGGATCACCATGTTATTTCGAAATTGTTCACATCAATAATCCGTAATTTCCCCTCTATTTATTCAGTTTCCTCGAGATATGAGTATTACTGTCCGAAAACATTTTTTGGTAACTTTAGAGCATGAAGTAGATGCCACATAGGCAAGTGAAGCAGCGCAGAGAGAAACATTTGTGACACACCATGAGTGTCACATAGTCTGAAAAGTATTAAAAATGGCAAAATAGCGTGAACATGAAGTTCGTAAATTTCGCAGCTTTACACTCGCTTCCAGAACTTAAAAAAATCTCTGGTAGACGAACAGTAGTTGAAACATTTCCCCTTCACCGTAGCCTACATCCACCCTGGAAGGGCTACCATGAGTTTTATGATAGGCTCTAGAATTTTTAGCCGCTGTTTAGCATGAGGGGAAATAAGAGTATGACAGTCTTCTGCACCCCTTTTTTACGCCCTTTTTCTCATAGAGCTTTGTTCATCAAGTAAGAAAAAAAGGCCAAGAAATAAGCAGCAGAATCCGGACGGCTCACCTCAGTGCCGCTCTTGGAGGGGCAGAACTGGTACAGGGAAGAGTTAGCGGATCCGCACAGTTCCAGTTGTCGTTTCACTGAACGAATCGTCTTACAACGTCGAGCCGATGCGACGAATTCGAAACCGGGAAGGCATTCTCGGAGCAGCCAAATACCGAGATCTTTCCTGCAAAATAATCCATTTCTTCTTGAGATTGTTGAGACATTGAATAGCAGATGTTCTCGGTTTTGCCCTCTCTCTCCTCCCAAAAAACGCGAGCAAAACCAGTGTTGTTTATTCGGGTGTTCTTTGGAGAGCTCGGAAACAAGTGCAAACAATTGCAAGCGGATGGGAAGAGGGTGGAAGGTGCATTCTTCAGTGGTCGGCCGGAAATAACCCTCTTTCAAATTCACTAACAATCGGAACGTCTCAAACCGGGTGGATAACCGGGGACCTCCTCAGCTGTTCCATGCGCGCGCGCGAGCTCAAAAAGCGTCACCAATCGGATGGGTGGACATCAAGTGTGGTCGACGGACACTTGAGATGTTTAGAAGTGGGAAAATGAAGAGCAAATTCACGGCGGAGAATAGGAGGACAAGCATGCATGAGAGCATCATTAGACAATGGGAATCGCTTACCGATCAGCTGCCAAGGAACTTTGTCGAACACACTCCACATATCGGTGAGGGTCGCCGGTCGCTCGTGGAAATGAAGGTAATTGGCAAATATCGCCAAGAATCGCTCGCCAATATTGTGGAGTCTCCTCGCCGGACTTGGCATCGGCCCAAACTACTGCTGAGCAAAACGAAACTTCATAATGAAAATGTCATTTGAAAGCGGCAAAATTCAAAAAAGAAAAGTTCAAATAGTACGGTAAATAAATAAATGTTACAAGTACACTGAGGTATTAAACCCTGATCATTCCCACCTGCACAGCAGCAAATAGCGAGTACAAGTCGTTGCATTTGTCCCTGGGCGGAGAAGATATTGGTGACGATGGGCAAGCGACCGTTATATACCTCACTCCGCCTTCGCCTCAACCGGATCATCCGTCCTTTTTCGCTGCCACCGTTGCGATTCGTTGTGAACGCCCCTGATGGCGGTTGCGACTGGCGCTGGCCGGCTTGACTTCCGCTCTCCGCCCCACCGTATGAGAAAAGGACAAGCTGAAGATTCTCGCTTACTCATCACCCTTTCCAATAGCACAACGACAAAGCATGTTTGATGCACTCGACGCGAGCCAAAGAAGCTCATAGAAAGAAATTTTCGCACAGAAACATGGGATAAGTGGGACAAGAGGCGCCATCGGTTGCTTTTCATGTTGTACTGATGGTTGAGAGCACTGAGAAGAAAACAGAAATAGCTGAGTTGGTGGCAAACAACTGAATGAAACAGGAATATCAAACAGGAAAAAATTTAATAAAATAACGTGACTTCCTTTTTATAACTTGAAAAATCGAACTTAAAGCCTGGCATATAGCTGCTGAAAAAAATCTGTAACAAGCCAAAGAACACTTAACCTCATTATCGTCATCGTTACAGATAAACAAGCCAAGAATTTTCATCTACCAGGTAAATATGATCCCAGTGAGGCACTGGCCGGTTGAGGTACAGAAATTGACTCAGTCACCGAGCATAACACGTCGTACGATAGGAATGCCTGGCGAGAGGGGGGGGGGGAGGCGTGCTTGCTTGCCGAAAGGAGTGGGGGCATATTAGCCTTTGGGAAAAATTCTCTGAAGCTGTTAATTGTTTTCTGTTTTTCCCGCTCACCCTTTTCTCCCGTTTGCTGTCCCTGCCCTTCCTCCTCTCGACAGCAGTTTTTTTCTGCAAAAACTAGAGAATTCCCAGTATTCCTGAAAAACTCTTTGAGGAGGATGGAAAATCGGAAAAATTCAGGAAGACGGTGCGGTAGTACTGGAGACGGGGAAAGGGATGGTGGTCGCCGTACAAGAGGAAAAATTTCGTGGGTTCTGCTAAATTTTCGTCCAGTGGCAGGCCCTGAGCACGAGCTTATACTTGGCATAAGTCAAAGGTCTCACCTCGGGGGAAGCCATGGTGAAATCAGTCGAGAATCAATCATGGGCTATTTCTTTACCTTCTCTTCACTTTTTTTCCTTTCCTTTTTTATTCCCATTTTAGACAAGAAAAAACCTGCATCGTTGATAGCGGACAGAATATAAATTAACGGATGGAAAACTGAAAAACCCTTCCAACAAATTGTAAAGGCATTATTCACTTTTTACTGCCCAATCTTCCAAAAACAGGCCAGTTTTTGACCGACTTTTTTCTGCGTTGGCAGAATTGGCTGAAAATTTGTTTCCTGGGGTAGTTTGACCTCCTGAACATGAATATCACATCCGCTCAACACAAAACCTTCCTGGCGCCCGTGCCACAGGCACACCCTACACCAAATCACCCAATTCGTTGAAAACTTGTTCTCAGGGGTAGCCTGACCTACTGAGCAAGAATATCACACTTGCTCCGGAAATCTCCTGGCGCTCGCACTACAGGCGCTGGCGCCAAAATACCCCAATCTCCGGCGCCTGTGGCGCGGTTACTTGGGGGGCAGCAAAGGCTAATTAGCGCCATTGTAAAGAATTTGCATATACAAAAAATTGTTTTTTTTGCAGTTAGCCAACATTAAAAGTCAAATGGTATGGCCCGTTTACGGACTCCATTTGAAATCCAGAAGCACCATTTGCAAGCGTTTGATCACTGCAGTCCACCACCATAGGCCAGAGTACCTCAAAAGTGGTCAAAATGCCCTCATAACAGCCTCAAAGGAAATAAAGAACAGTAAAAAAATACACGTTCAATTCAATACAAGGTTGCATTCCTATTATGGGCTTCAAGATATAAGCTGACTCAATAGTATGTACATAACATCGTGTTATGCCATTCACTATAGGTAAAGTTGTGCAGCAACCACTGGGTAGCTGTTGTAGTTGCATTGTATGTACAAATCCCTGTTAGGTGATTTTGGGCTTATAAAAGGAGTTCAACAGGTCGCCCACTGAAGATTTGAAATCGGCGTCCGGAAGTTGCGGAAGATTCACTGGATGAAGTTTTGAAGGCTTTTCGCTCCACACTGTCGCAATGTCTGGTGTAAATTAATTTGGTTGTATGGATTACAGCTCTTCACAAAGTGGCCTGCACAAGCTTTGCTGAGAACTCATTGGCCTTATTCCAAGACACTATCCAATACAAGTTAAGCTGCCCTGAAGCCTCACCAGGATTTCTGACGCGATCCGCAATGCAAAAAATCCCTGGAAACACTAAAGCGTTCGCCCAGTTTTGATTTTTCGGAGTTCTTTCGCGAATTTTGAAAGCCCACATTCACAGTATAAGCACAATTCCGAGTAGTTACCTTTAGTTATGTATCACCTCAGTCCTCATGTGAATAGACCTTGTTTTAAGGTTTCTGACAAATGTGTGTTGTGTTAAAGTTGATGTTGGGGCAGTACGGCGACGTGGGGAGGGGAGGGAATTTTGCACTTTTCTTACTTCCCATCGACGTGTCGGGGCCCATCTGGAAATGTGTCTTCCATTTACGTGACTTACAATAGTGGACAGCGTTACCACGGTGGCCTGCGACAAGCTTGGCGTCCGATCCAGGAGTTTACAGGCTTCACCAGAGTGAGACTTGTGAACAGGAGCTCGTGGAGCAGCAAAAGCGCTAAATGCCCCCCACCGCCTCAGTCCTCTTATCCCCGTCGCCGAATGCGCCTTCCCACGTTTAGGCCAACAACGAAGGAATGAACCTGAAAAACAATTGTTGAACATCCTTTTCCTAGTCCTCGGTGCATAATTAGAATGAACTCATCCTGTAGAATCGATGACGATTATGTGGATTATGATTAACTAATGTATAGGTCATTAGAACCCGTAGACAACATCGAATAGGGGGGACGGAAGGTGTGTTAGGCCTGAGGGGGAGCCCATCCATTACTCGACCCTAAAGCCCGATATCGTTGCGGTTAAGCGGCGCTCTTGCCAACTACTACAACACGCCAAAAGCTTACAAGTGAATCATCAAGCAAACGAACAAATAAACTCGTTTCAAATGTACGGAAACTGGTAGAACTCATCTGTGAATAGGTGACTCATCCTCGACACGGGGGGGGGGGCTTAGCAATTTTTTTCCTGTACAACTCCAACATGCTAAAACATGTTTCCAGAATTTTAACCAGGTGCTTCTGTCCCGTTAGCTAGCATATTACCTCATTGAAATCGTCCTTCGTTTTTTCATTGCCTTTCCATAATTTCTATTGGGACATTTCTCTTCCTTCACCAACTAATCGAAACTCCATTAGTGGTGGAACTCAAGGTTGAGATCAGAAGGAGTGTTTATTCTCTAAAGCTGCATTTTCTATACGGCTTGAAAACGCGATGAACGCGTCAAAGTGAAGTGCTCGTTCCGGCCTTGGGTGACGGAAAGCACTGAGCACATTCCAGCGGCAATGAGCTGGAATGCGGCGAACGCTATGGATGCTTGGACGATTCAGATATTTCCTCTCAAACTGAACCCTCGTGTACTGAAAAAGAGGCGAATAGACAACGCTGTCCCGAAAAGACTACAAGGCCCGCTGAGCAAGTAATCAGGGCCAAGTAATCTTTCCAACTAATTCTAGGCTACAAATTGCTGCTTGGTATGATGATTTGACCGTAGCGGATAAACAAATGCCTTGTTTGGCTTTGTTGCAGGTTCCCCTACTATTGCAATGGATGAACTATGGGAGTGTACTTTGATTAGGAGCCAGAAAGCGAGAAATAGCCTCAGTCGTCACCAAAAGCACATAGTTCGTGATATAATACCTATCAGGATTTCTTTCAACAACTTGTTGGCTGATTCCTTTAATTTCACTTGATCATTATCTTGTTTTGCTGCTTAATCACTGCTCACATATATTCTCAAAGTTATTATTATTATTGTTGTTAATTATTTTTAATGTTCTACATTTCTTTTCTATCTTTCGTTACCAACCTGAGTCTATCTTGACCGAAGATGGTACCAGTTTCAGAATATCACAGGATCGGCTTTCAATTATAATTCTCGGCGATCAGACGAGTAATACATTCCCGTAATGTTTTCAGCCTCCCGAGATTTGTACAGATAGTTTATTGGACTAACGTTTCGGCGAACATCGCCTTCTTCGGAGCCTGCAAGTCGAAACCTATCATCGAAACAATTCACTCAAGCACCATTTCTAATTACAGTAAGAAACTACGGGCTAGGATATCTTAGAACTAAGTCGAAAGCCACCAACCTTTTGACGGGTAGAACTTCTACCGGGCACTCTGAGTTTCAGATACAAGGCGGTAGCTATATAATGTGCCTTTGTATTGTTTTCCCTTAAAGCCTTCTGACTCGTCACTCAGAGTTATTAAAACCATATATAAGCTACCGCCTTGTAGTCTTGAAACTCAAGAGTGCTCGGTAGAAGTTCTACCCGTCAAAAGGTTGTGAGTTTCGAACTTAGCTTCTAAGATATCAGCCCGTAGTTCTTACTGAATACTAGCATGTGGTGCTTGAGTGAATTGTTTCGATGATAGGTTTCGACTTGCAGGCTCCGAAGAAGGCGATGTTCGCCGAAACGTTAGTCCAATAAACTATCTGTACAAATCTCGGGAGGCTGAAGAAACATTGTGAATTATTTGACCAACACGCGCTTCAATTATAATAATACAGTAATTCGAGCGCTATCTTATATGCAGAAAGTCAAAGTGCATGTGATTTCAGAGATGATTCCAGATTTCCAAAAGATTACGGTAGTGGACACCCAATTTTCTTTTAGCGTCCGCTGCATCTCCTTGGTTTATGTCTCCGGAGATACCTGTGGACATTTGGTTTTCGTCTTTTTATATATGTTGTAAATTTTAGAAAGGAAATAAGCGACTGATTGTGACCACATCAACTGTGCACTCTTACGCATACCTCTTGAACCCTTTTGGATTGTGTGGT